GACCATGGCTCCAGATAGTTTGTGATGCCAGCCCCTTTGAACGGCAGTCGCTTCTTGCCTCCTGTGTTCTCATGCTGAAATCCTGTTTCACCCTGTTTTGAAGCTGCAGAGAAAAAGGTCAAAATGCATGCGTTTGGATTTGTTTAAACTGCCTGTAGGATTTCCCCCTGCCCTACATGGCAGGAAGCACTTTACTCTGGGAGAAACTCCCAAGCCGGGAGAACCGTCCTCTTAGCTATCTCCGCATTTGTTTACTCTAGGCTTTTTTTTTTTTTTTTTTTAATCCTAACTGTTGTTAACACAAGCGCATCTCTGCCAGCAAATATGCTACTGCAGTGGAAAGGCAAAAGGCCAGCTAACTTGGATATTGTCTATACTTGCTCTAAGTATAGACAGACAGTGGGGAGTTGGTTTTTATCATCTGGGGTTGCTGGGGTTTTTTTTTTTTTTTTTTTAGAGAAAACGCATGGAGTGGCCTCAGTCTTACTGGAAAGAATCAAGCAACAAATGTGGCATTGCCCATATGTGATACAGGTTTTCTCTTCACTGGGAAATCAAGCTGCGCTCTTACTTCCTGGGTGCTAATGGGCAGAAACTACATTACCTGCTTGTTAGAAGGTAAGGGCTTCCCTTAGCTTCCCAGAAACTAAGGGAAACCCTAAACTCCTCATAGGTTTTTGGGCTTTTTTTTTTTAATTTATTTATTTCAGCTGTCTGCTAGTGACACGCTACCTTCACTTCGCTAGCTGCGGGGTAAGACCACACTGTATTTCCTCGGACGCTGTCAGAGTGCAAGGAGCCAGGGAAGAGGAGTGTTTGGGAGCCAGCTGACAAACGTATTCATTATTGTTCAACGTATTCATTATTGTGTTTTGGATGCTGAAATACTGCGGTACCCTGATGCTTCTGTCACTCGGTGCACTTATCTGAGCAATTCAGCATCTGGGGAAAAGTCATCCTTGTCCAGAGCGACAAGACTTCGGTGCCACTTCTGTGCTCGCTGAAGGATTGAAATGGTTTGTAGACCTAGACCTGGCCTATGAGGCAGGCATTCATCCTTTGTGCATGTGGGGGAGAGAGGAGGAGAAATGAAATGCTGTTTAAACACTCTCTGCCTCCCCATTTGGAATGGCAAAACGGCCAATTTTTTCTTGTTTCAGAACATGTATGAATAAAGAAGCAGCATCCTCCGGCATTGAAATGCTACATGCCAAAAGTAGTCATGGAGCCAACATTTAGGGCCCTAGTACACACTGCAGCTCAAATCCTGCATATTGTTTTACTATATTCTATACTTAATGTTCAAAATATAAGGAAGCATGCTTTGACAGAGCAGGCTGGGCCCCAGTTTCTCAAACGGGTCTGTGCGCACGCAGGTACCACTTAGCGGTAATTCTGCCATTTACCTCTGCCCCGTGTTGCCTGCCTCTGTTCCCTAATCCATCTCCTCTCAAACTACTTGTGATGCTGCAAACCTGAAGGCTTTGAGAAGGTTCCCTTGAATTGGACAGATGGAGAAACGTGTCACTCCGAATCTGGAGGATTGCTCCCCAAGTGTCATTAGTCTCAACTGTCCAAGTTTCAAATGGGTTGTCATACAGAGAGTGTCCCCAACCAAAGCCCTGCCAAATTTAATAGGACTGGACTGGTGCTTGGACTTTGGGCTTGTTGTACTGAAGGGTGAGTCTTGCCCCACAAAGAGGGGAGCATTTTGTTTTTAAACTACCTAGAAGTCCAGCTCAGTCTCAAAGTACCTAGCGTAGCATTCACATTTGCATGTGCTAACAGTCGCAGCATGAGGATGCTTTTGATAATTCAAAGCTTAGACAAAGCAAACCACGTTTTCAGAAGCTGCCTATTAATTGGCATGTACAGTTTTTAGGCCCAATAAACTTTCATCTTTGCTTGGGCAGTTGGCTGGATAAAGTGTAAACTCACTTTAACTCAGTTAATGCCTCGCCCCCCCTTACCCACCCATGGATTTGGGTGGTACAAATAATTGGATTTTGAAAACCTCAGTTGTGAGGCCTGCATCATCTTGACTGCTCAAATGTAATGGTTCAGATGAAGATCCTTTTGAAAATGTGGTCTGAGCTGGCTTTTGTCATATATTGGCTATTAAACAACTTGCTTCAAATGCTAACCTTGAGAAAGGTATCGTTCTCCTTTCTGGATGCCACTTTGTGCATTGGTACAAAACAGCAAAGTAAAAGCAGCTGGACTGGGATTTTAAATTATTTTTTTCCCCATCCTTAAATCCTTGAGGCTTTGTTTGGTTATATTTTGAAAACTGGAATTGGCTCCAATTTCCATATTTGCTTTATGTCAGGTCTTACCAAACTAAAACTAGTTCAGCATGCTATAGGAATTCTTCTCGCTTGTCTGCTTACCTTTCGTGCCCTAAAAAAACAAAAAAAAGGAAGAACCACTGGATAATATTATTCTGACAAGATTAAAACATCATAGAAAACCCACAACTTGTGTATTTATCATAAAGGCAAAACAGAATCTCACTTTGTATAGATCTCTCTAAAGTACATGAATGTGAGAACAAGGTGCATCTAAAGCTACTGGTACTTTGACATGCATCTCCTTTGAATTCCCAGAGAAAAATCAATGTGTAGCACTCGTAGGTGATTCTTTCAAATAGATATGAACAGCTTGGGTTAGAAAAGGGGCTGGCATAAAGTACAGAGAATGTGATTTTTGAAGGTGGGAAAGCTTTTGATCCAGTCCACAAGTCTGTAAACTTAAAGAGGCAATTTAGTCACTTATATTAACAATTGGTGCCAATCATGTATCTTTAGATGAACTTGATGGGGGCGGGGGGGGAGATTAAAAAAAAATGTCGGTAGAGGACATTTTAAGCCACTTTAGAATTATTGTGTATGTAAGGATTGGCCCTTGCTTCTGGTAAACTGCTCTAGGAATGATTTAATTCATTTGATAACCAGTAATAGAGGCACAGCACTTCATCATCTGTTTTAACACATTTTCCTAACACAATTGTTCCTATTCCAAACTTTTCAAGCTACATCTCTGCAGCTGCTGCAAACTAATATTTGGAACAGCCAGCTGGATGGAGACTTTTTTAAATGCAATTCATGAGATCCTCTTGCTCAGTTTTCATCTCCCCACCCCCCTGCCTTAACTGCATCAACAGAAGACTTTGAGCAGAACTAAATCTTTACCCTAATGTTTCATTTAGAAAACATGGAACAACTTGAGTACATCTTGTTGTGTAATACACTGGTCCAAATTATGTTTGCTTTAGTAGTAACTCCAGATTTACATCACTGTAATGTGAGAGCAGTTTTCAGCCCCGTGTGTTTATAGAGAGATGCTGGCAGATGAACCATATGTTATACACATGAAGCCATGATGTGCAAGTCTGGGAAAGAAAAGTGCTGGCTCTAAGGTATAACGTTGTGATTCTTGCCCTTAATTTACAAGATGACACAAAGCTACATCCTATTCGGGGTTGAGAACATACTCAAGATCAAAATCACATGTTTGAAGACACAAATGACATTTTCCAACTTTGTTTTTATCAGTATGTGGCTCAAAGCGTTTGCATCAAGGTCTAGTTGTTGGGTTTCTTACATGATACAGTGACATCTGCTCACCAGCATTGAAGAAGGGCTGAGCCATACCAGACATCCATTGCTAGCAGATAGCAGATAGCTCTGCTGAAGGGTTAGATGAGGCCTCACCACTGTCGTAGCTATTCTCCAAAGCACAGTTGGCTAAAATCAAAGGCCCTGGTTCAGCAAAGCAGTTCAGACCATGCTTAATTCCATTATTATCCAATAAAGAACATGTTGAAACTTAGGCAGATATTTAAGGTGCATTGATGTTGTCTGGGTTTGAGCTATTGAACTATTCCTATTGAGAAGTAGCTGACCAAGAGCCAAAGGCTTTGCATGGGTTGTTAGGAAGGGTAGCACTAGTCTTGTGCGTGAGACAACCACTGTCCTCCCAACACTTACGTTTTCCTCTTCCCTGAGCATCTTGCTTTACAGCCATGGGCTAGCCCAATACATTTAATGGAGGGGTGGGCAAAATGCAGCCTGTGGGCCAAATGCAGCCCACCAGGCTATTCTATCCAGCCCGTGGGGCCTCTAAAAAAAATTTAGAAAATTAATAATTATCTGCCCCTGGCTGCCTGTCATGCAGCCCTTGATGGCTTGCCAAAACTCAGTAAGCGGCCCTCCACCCAAAATAATTGCCCGCCCCTGGTTTAGTGGTTTATAACAGCTAGGTACAGGACAAAGATTGCCTCCATTCATTACCTCCCAGGAATCGATAGTAAATAGATCTGCATGTCCCAGGGTACTTACCATATTTCCTCTGGGAATCCTAAAATGGGTGGATTTAATGGGTAATTAGAATTGCTAAGGCCCAGGTTCTGTAGGCATTTGTGTAGATACCTAAATTTCTAGGACCACTGTGGTGAGAGGAGCTGAATGTGTGCATAGACCTCTGCAGAATAGGGGCCCAAGATGCCATCCTGCTCCTAACTACAGGATTCTCGGCACGCTTTGTGGGAGTCCGTCTCCTGCATTCAGGACGGTGCATGCCCAATAAGACTTGGGTACAAAGGCTTTAACAAAGCTTAAAAAAGTCCAATCACTCGTGGGGTCTGTCCTGCATCCTGCCGTACCTCCCCTAGCCAAGCACATTCTGCTCGTGGCCTCTGAGAGCCTGAAATTCCCAGAGAGATCTGTGCACTGTGCCAAAAAGGTAGCAACATACTCTTCCCACTAAGCCTTTTGTTTCCTTTTACGCTCCTTTCCACTTTCCCTGTTGCTTGACAACACTGATTGTCCTCTCTTACCATACTCTTATTGGTCTGAGAGAGAAATTTAACCAATATATCCTCTGTCTTAGAGTGTTTCTTAGAACATAACTAAAATTGTTGTGTTTGTGACTTAGTTCTGTTTTTCTAATACAGTATCCTTGCTTTTCTCTCTCTCTCTCTCTCTCTCTTTTTTTTTTAGGGGCCTCTTGGTCTGGATGGCAAGCCTGTAAGTAGAGCTCTAAGTGCAAGTATTTCTACTTGCTTCATGAGAGAGGAGCACAATTCCAGCACAGTTATGATGATCTGTGACACAACTATGCATGAGACAAGGTTGCTGTGTGATTTCTAGCACACACTGACTTACCCATGGGAAAGAAGTCATTGGGACAGTCTAATTTACTATCCTGTGGGTGGGCGTCATCATACAGGTGCACTGCAGCACCGATGTGGGCCCCTGCTGTCTCTAGCAGAACTAATCATAGTATGTAACGATAAGTCTATTGATAAGATGTTGGCAACATTGGGGCCTTTATGGGTGTTTTTACTCTGAAAGGTGATTGTAGCATTGGCATTTGGGAGTTGCATGGCTTTGGGGTCTTCTGCATCCAGTGTTGCTCACTTGCAAGTGAAGAGAAGTGCTTTCCTAACTGCCCCCTGAACTTAAGCTGGGCCCTTTCCTCTCTCCACACCAGCTCTGTAAAGATGTGCCAAGTTCTACCCTTGGGAGCATGTGAAGAGCCTTGTCTCTGACTTAGCACAGGTGCAAGGGATTGTCTTTAAAATGGAACTGAGGAAGTAAGGCTGCTGATGCAGAAGCAAGGGCTGCCTCTTAGCTGGGTACCAGCAAGGCAACAAGTAGGGAAACACTGCAGCCACAAGTGAGCAGATCTGCCTAAAATCCTGGTCGCTAGATGGGACCTCATCATAGAGGATATTTACTCCAGAACTGCTATTTGTGCATCTACTTATTTTGCAATTTGCTTTTATATCACATTTCCCTCCACATTCACTAGAGGGCACCATGTGGACCCTTCTCAAACGATAGTCTCAGAGCAGCTCTTTCCTACTGAGAGAGCGAGCAGAGGCTTCTCCAGTAATTTTGACTGAAAAGCTACTCTAGCCATTTGTTGCTTGCCAGTTCAGGAATGGTTCATTAGAGCTGCAGATACACTGCATCTTTATTGCTACGCTGAAAAGAAGCTGCCTGATTTTGTAGTAGGAGAAAAACGATCAACCATCCAGTCAAGGTGTCTCTACCCAGCATTCAAACTGAATATGAACTGAACTTTCTTTAGTCATTTGAAAAAGTTGGTGTTTCCTACATGTATATTTTATATTCACAGAGAGAGAGAGTGTCAATCAGTCAGTCTTTTTTGGCCCTCCCAAATGGAGAAATATTAAAGAAAGAAATTTCACGAGAGAACCAGTTCTCCTATGTTTTCCATCCCTATTTTAAAAATTTGAGGAATGGGATCTTCTGAAAAGAGTTACAGGCTAGATGTTTAATGCTCACTTCTCCCCGACATCCATATACACAGGAGACTTTGTGCACAAAGTGAATATAGACTGATTTTAAAAAATAAGGCAGGGAAAAAGCAAAGCCCAGCCCTTCAAATGGCCAGATTCAAACCAGGATGAAAGACCTCTGCTCGTGAAAAGCAAGGGCCAAGAGTGTCATCCACGGCCAGTCTTGAAGCAAGGGTCTGTCCTGACCTTCTGCCTACGACCCATGCTCTATTGCATAGGCTATACGCTGTTGCTTCAGCAAATGGCATTTCCTGCCATCCACCATTACTTGTGCTGAATACAAAATACAATATCGTTGCTGCATTTTGGGCCTTGTCTGACGAGCGCATCAAAGCACGTTCCATGGCTGCTCTTTGAGGCTGTACCGTATCTCCTCTTTCCTGTCTCCTTGGAAGAAACATGACATCAGCAAATCGGCCAAGGAAAGTGCCCCATCCTCCTTATTTATTTTAAACAGATGTGTTATTGGGCATAGCATGCTTGTAATGATACGCTGTGCATGCGTTTCTAGAAGTGATTTAATAGTTCAAGAAATGCCTTGTATCTAGTTAATGTCATGTGTCCTTTGGATGTTGGCCAATGGTACTTTTTTTGCTCTTTGACTTTTGGGGTCCATGTCAAGAGGAAACGTATGATTTCACTGATGTGTCTTAGACCTGTCCCTTTTGGATAAAATAGCTTGTACCTTAACTTCAAGAGGAGAAATGTAGAGGAGATTGTGGGTTGGGAGGATTACTTCTTTTAATCCTAGTTGTTGAGCAGGAATATTGTAACAGGAATATGTCTGCCGATGCCTGTGCTAGTTACTTATTTTTATTTTTATGTTTACAGGGACCTCCAGGACCAAAAGGGGAAAAGGTACAAACTTAAGATCTCTAAAACCTCTCTCCCAAAACCCTGCTGAGTGGGTTAGCAGATAAGTGTGTCATCTCCATTACACTGGCATTACCCTAATGTGCTGCAGTCCTATTGTATCATTTTTTCATGATGGAGGGAGAAGCCGTAAAGCTACATTCTCCCCTTACTTTGGAAACCCTTTGCAAGGGAAAGGTACAGCAAGAAATACTGTGAAATATCAGGGTAGAAACAGTGCTGGGCTCTCTCCTCCGAGGGAAAGGATTAGCAGATGTGCAGGAACGGTTCCAAACAGTAGGGTTCAGACGCACCCCTTGGCTTGCGGTTTGGGATGTCCACATACCAGCTGCTTCTCCCCATTCCTTCAGCAGCTCAGTAGTTTTGTGGCTGTTTTCTCCTATAACCACTGAGCTGGGACAGCCATAGGAAGGCGGTTATTTCTGGAGCGAGAAATGCTTTGCCTTCAACGCTTGCTATTTGAACTCTGATTTCTGTTCTTCCCTGTTTTGTGTAGGGTGAACCAGGAGACTTTGGCCCGAGGGTAAGTACTGAGAGCGCTTGCTCTTTATCTAACCGGAAGGGATAAAGGGAGGCGGAGGTACGTGCAATGTGCCATTGCAAATTGTGATGCAACAATGGTTTGGGAAAGGTTTTATATTGCCCTCCAGGTTCTAATGGAGAACTGGAGAATTAAAATAGCACCTGAGAGCAGATTCCTGTAGAAAATGCATAGGATCTGCTTTAGACCAGAGCATAAGGGCTCTGCACTCACAGTGATGAGAAAATGGGACCCAACATATCATGAGGAACAAAGTGGTGTGGTGGAGACACCAGAATATTCGTGGTTTTTGCACTGTATCTGCGAGTGGTGGTTTCATTAGCCCATAGTTTATGGAGATTGGCTGAGCTGGCATTCCTGGGAAAAGGCAAAGAAAGGACATGTCAAAGCAGTGTTGCAGGGTGAACTGGGCTAAGCCTAGAGGCCAAGGCACAGGGCCAATATGCAGTTGGAGGCTGGTTCAGTGTTGCTTGGATGCATGGCCTCTCGGAGTCATAGGCAAGTAGAGCTGGCAAGGACCTCACGATCTTTTTTCTGTGTTTGTGCAGCCTAACATAGGCAGCTTGCAGTGTGCTGGGGGTAGGGGTGGCAAGCTCATCTCTTCGTCAAACCTCCAGCTTGTGCTGGTGGTAGAGCCTACCTCTTGGTACTACATCATGACGTGGCTTAAGCACCGCGTGTGACAGGGCATCTACCACCTTCTGATGGGTCAGCTGCTTCCATCGGTAATTGCATCTTCTTTCCAGCCTGGAGTTGTCCAGCTTCTGCTTCCAGCCTCTGTATCTAGTCATGCCTTTTCTGCTAGATTAGAAAAGTGTTGGGAGGAGGAGGAGGACCAGGCTGACCAAAGCCAAATACCGAGGAGTGGCCTGCTCTGCTCTGGGTACTGCCACAGTACTGGGCTAAATATGAAAGCTCTCAATGAGCACTTTGAAACAAAAAAACCCAAAAAGGTTTATGTAACTGAACAAAAAGGCTGGAAGCGGTTCCCAGCTGTTGTCAGTTCTGCATAGAAATAACAGGCATTTCAAAGTGCCCATGTTATGAAATAGCCTGGTGCCCCGGTGCGCCGAGTCCCTAGGGGATGCCTGACTGTGGGGCCTCAGCACCATTCTCAGGTGACCAGCCCGGCCCTCGAGGCTTGTGGTCCACAAATAAATTTAAACGTCTCTGGCTTTGAAGGCACTTCGGTGCTGCTCAGCACCTCTGCTCCCGTCCCGGAGGCATGCAGCCTTCTGATAGCATCTGGCCTAGATTATTTTTACTTCCTTCATTGAGTCTGTATCATCGCTACAGCCTCTGTGGTAGCTTGATTTCCTTGCTGATAGAGTACGTCAGGTCACGGTCAGTCCTGTGCTCTGCCATTATTATTAATTACGATGTTTATGGTCATGCCTCAGGGCCAGCCTGCATGGTGCTAGGCCTCATTGGAGATGCAAAGGAGTAATTTCTCCCTGCCTTGAAAAGATCCCGTGGAAGAAAGTTAGGACACCCAAGCAGAGCAAACAGCACGATGGCAACAAATGCCATGGCCGTGTCGCAACAGTTTGGAAGGAAGTTGGAAGGTGGGAGATGGGCAGTTTAGTGAGGAGGGGGCCTGGTGAGTGGAAAAGGTGTTCTTTTTTCATTTTAATCAAAAGGACCAGGGGAAAAATGGTTGAATTTTCCAGCGTGGTAGCCAAACTAAAAATCAGTTGTTTTCTTGACCCTTTGTACCTCCAGAGGCCTGTCCTGCTTCTCCAGCTGCTTCTGCTCGAGTCTGACTGACTCCTTTCTGCATATTTTCCCTTGGGGGCCATGTAGCATGAGCGAGACCACCTCAGTTCCACACTCCCCAGAACGAGGGGTCTCCCCTGCACAGTTTGGAATCTTGGAGCAAACCAAGTTATTGGAAGGAGCAACGAACAAAGGAAAAGGCAGCTGAAACAGATAAACCGGGGTAGGCAAAATAGAGCCCACAGGCCGGATGCGGCCCTCCAGGCACTTTCATCTGGCCGTGGTGCCCCCCCCCCAGCGAATTTCACCATGCCCAGCCCTTCCATCCACAAGGGTGGGAGCAAGGCGCCCATGTGTACAACCCCCCAATGTGCCCTGTTGGGCCTCGCTCCCACCCTCTTGGGTGGAGGAGCTCTGCCCAGCCAGCAGCGCGGGGCAGCAGGTAAGGAAGCAGCGGGGCTGGTGTGGGGGTGGAGTTGCAGCTGGGTGGAAGCAGGAGCTGCAGGTGCGTGGCACAAATCCCTGATGATACGGCAGGCTCCGCTCCCTCCTCAGAGCCATGCCTGCGCTGGGCACAAGCAACCTGACCTCCCCACCTGCTGCTGCTGCCAGCAGCTGGGACGGCACACTATGTGGGGAGTGTGTGGGGGGTCCCTAGACTCCCCACCCTGCCCCCACACCCCAACATACCCTATGCCCCCCTATACAGCCCTTCCAGCCCCCTCCACACACTCCCCCTCCACCCCCAAACAATATAAAAGAGTGACACTTTATTTTAGAGTTATTATGCAATCTCTTCTATATACAATACACAGTCACAAGTCATGCCAAATATGCTTTGTAATAAATATAAATATAGTAGGTGTCTGACTTCTAGTGTATGATTTTTTTTTTCTGGTTCTAAGATGGCAACCCCCCACCCTCCCAAAATGAGTATTTGGGCGGGGGGGAGAGCAAGGGGAAGGATTCCAGTGGCAAAGGTCAGGGGATAGGGGGCAGGACTTCTGGTCCCAATGTGGTGACCAGGGGGTAGGGCAACTGTCAAAAGGCAGGGCTACCTATGCTGCCAACAGCTTGCCAAAACTTATTAAGTAGCCCTCCGCCCAAAATAATTGCCCACCTCTGAGATAAACCCTAATACATATAACAAAAAGATCATTCACGAGGGAAGAGTCGTCATTACCCGGAAGGTACAGAAAGCTTAGGAAGATATTCCAAAGGAAATTTTTTTATCAATCTATTAAATATGTAGGTAGACTTCCCAAGAATATTGGGCGCAGACAGAAGTGACATTTGTCACATGACTGACCCCCTGAAAGTGCTCTACAGCTGTGCCATGACATATGTGCATGGCTGCAAAGGGCTTTAAGTGGCCTATTGTGTGACAAGTTAACCCTCATCAACTGAAGGATCAGATTAAAGGGCTCCACTTTTGGACCCCTTAGGGAACTTCCCTAGGGTCAATCTGTCGTGTGATGAACCTGTCATAAATGTTATCGCAGACTATAGTTGAGACTCCAGTTGGAAAAGTTCCCCCTTGGACTATTCTACAAGAAACAATGGTGTGATCTGTGTTTGCCAAACTTGGATTGCAAGTAAACAGTTGGAACACAAAACTCATTCAAATAAACTTGAAGCACTGAAAAATTGTGTGGGGGTATGTATGTAAAATATGGATGCTTTGTTTGGATATAAAATAAGCATCCAAAAAGTATGTTTAAAGCTGAGCAGGTTAAAGGAAGACAGTCCCAGAAATCAGGTTGCCTCTGATTTTTCCACCCCCCACCCTCAGAGCCTGTAATTATTTTATCACGCTTGATAGGTTCAAAGTACAGTGCCAGCTAATTTTAGTGGTAGTTCAGAGCACGCATCTCTGCAAATCTAGCCTGAGAGATGTTACATCATGCCCTCCAAAAATGAGGAACAGTCAATTAGTGGTCAGCTGTGGAAATGTTGCCAGCCTCACATAGGAATATGTGGGAGAGGCAGGGCTAGAAGCCAGCTCTGCTCCTGGGTGGCATTCTGCTGCCTTAACCAGGCAGCTGGCTTTTCTCTTCCTGCAGTTCACTTGCTTCATTCATCACCCGCCTTCCCGCTTCAGCCATAAACGAGGCAGGGTCTTACAGACGGCAGCTTCATTGACCATGTGGCTCTGAGACATTCCCAACCATGGGCCCGAGATCCTGGGAGAAATAGGATGTGATCATACAGTTGAAGACTCGATGACGGCCTTTTCTTACATACCCACGTGGGAGCCAAGTTACGATTAAGAAAGAAAGAGGGGACATAAAATGAAGCTAGTAGGTAATCAGTTTAAAACTAACAGTGTGTCATTAAAGGGTGGACCGCATTCCCACCAGATGTGGTGGAAGCTGACAGTTTAACCAGACTCAAACAGGGATTGGGCACATGCTTAGAGGAAAGGGGCATCAGGAGCAATTCAATGCGGGAGTGAGGGGCACGGCCCCTGAATCGGAGCTTCCTAGACATGAAACGCTGGAGGCTACAAGTGGAAGAGGAACAGTGGAAAAAACCTTGGTCATACCCTGTTCATTCTCCCTTTCAGCAGCCGTTCCCTGCTGCTGTGCACAGGAGATTGGGCAAGAGGGACCTAGGAAACGGCAGTTATGTTCTTCCATTAAGATGATGTGATCCCAAGCCTGGCAGGAACTAGTGTCTGAGTTGAGAACTTAATGTTCTTGTAACACAGATGTTTGGATGTAATAAATTCAGAGAATAACTGACAGCTACCATTGTCCTTTTGTTGGATTTAGAAGAAACAGAAAAACAACACAAAACAGAAGCCTGATCAGACAGAAATTATAAGTTATGCAGTAAATCAGCTGAAAATAAATGTCACTTACATATTTTTTTTCTCATTTTGTCTGGGATGGTTTAGACAGAGATGATCTTGCTTCAAGGAGTGGGTTGGACTAGAGGTCCCTTCCACCCTTGTTTTTCTGATCTTGATGTCCTGGGGAGAAATGTGAATATGCATGTCAGTGAGACCACATTGCAAAGCACTGATGATGCTCTGTGGTGGGTTTCCAGGAAGTCATCCCCGCAGCAGGATTGGATTGTTCCTTACTGTGAGGTGAATCCAAAATAACTCCTTGTGGTCAGAGTTACAGTTAGTTGTTTAAATGCTAGACAGGAGAGTCAAACTGCGGTGCAGTCAAAAGAGATGGAGGGAGATTATGAAAACATTTCCCTTTCAAACCACCAAGACAGCTGATAACTCATTTCATCTCGCTGTTTGTTGCACGCCTTCAAAGAACAGAAGATGCCAAGCGGCTTCCCATGCCGTGTCTGTGTTGGCTGTGCTCTCCTACATAATTTCCTCGGGTAATGCGTATCCCTACCTCCACAAGGGTTGCGTAAAACAAAGCTGGAGTTCAGTTTAGCCTCAAAGGTTTAAACCTGATTTTAAACGAGCTGCAGAGGAGGTAGGAAACAGCAGCCTCTGCCATTGCAAAGGCTAGATGTGAACAGTGTAAAAGCAATTCAGGTGCAGGCAGGGACCAGGTGGGATTTTTGAAACCTGCCTCAATATTTGTCTCCTCTGAGTTGGGGGAAAATCCCACTGATGCCTGTCTTCATTTTTAGGTAACTAAATAGCTTTAAGGTCTAGCCTGATATAGGGGTGGATCTGTGGGGGCTAGGGGTATGGTTGCACCACTTTGCTGCCGGATTACTGCCAAGAGCTCCTGTCTCAGCTGCTGGACACATGCACAATGAAGTCTTGCCTCCAGTTCACTGTCCTGGGTTCTCGACTGGCTTGGTACAGCGCCCTTTGATCTCCGTCAGAGTCTTTCCATCGGCCCAGTGACAGAGAAGGGACTCTCTTATCATAACTTTAATGTCTGTATATTTGCTCTTGAAAATATCCTTTTCTCCCCTGCTCTGTTCTACTGGGAAACACCACACTCCTCCCCAGAGCTCGCTGCATTTCAGTGAGGGCTGAGTTGATCCTTTCATGTGCGGTTTGGGGGTAAAATATCCTTTGGCTCGTTCAGATTTGGTTAGGGACTTGCTTTTTTTGCCCCATCCAGCTTTGTTGTCCCTCCTTTTTCTGAGAGTGGCTTGGTGGGAGTAACTGCAATGAGACCAAACCTGGACGTCTAGCAGACCCAGGAATCCTTGCCTTCCAGCTCCCGGCCTTATCCGTAAAGCAGGGTTTCCAAAACCCACACCAGCCATCTCCGTGTATGTTCAGACACTCAAGTAACACGAGGCTTTCAGGCTTTGGTCCTTGCGTACGAACCATATTCCCTGGGGCTGGTAGAAGAAGGAGTTGGCCTGCGGGCCAACTTTGCTAGTGGCATTTAGCTCAAAGCTGACCTGCTTTTGTCTCTAGCACGTGTTGGGATGTCTGGGATTGCGAACCGTGCCTGGAGGGGTTGGATGTCATGTTCCCTGACTAGGAATCGGGCAGGTGTATTCTTTAAATGGTTGCCAGACCTTAACCTGGGGTTCCTTCTAAACCTCCGCCAGCATCCTAATGACAGGTCTGATTAAATCCTAGGCGTTTTTGGTTTCAAGTCACTAAGGGAACATGTTCCTCTGGGTCGTGCAGGAGTCAAACCGGTGCTTTAGGAGAAGAAGCGTTTATTTTGCCTCCCTCTCCACACAGATCAGCCTGGAGGTTGAATGAGTGCAGCAATGAATGGGGACGGGCTCGATTAGATAGTTCTGCGTTGTGTGGAGCTGAGAGATGCACCTGTGGCTCACAGACCAAGGAAGACATTTAATATTCATTTTAGCTCTGGTTAGATGGGATATTCTTTCTCTCTGGGATGTACTTTCCATTGTGTTGGGTTGTGCTACCATATTTGTTGTATAGCAACACATTGAAATGGAGGACCCCGTCCATCTTGGCAGCTCTGAATGCCTTCTTTTGTGTGACATTAATGACAATCCTTCACTCTCCTGCTGCTTACCAATCCTCCCGTGGACGCAAAGACCTACAGCCACCACTGCTGCTTTTCCTTAAATATGTCCTTTCATGTCCCTTGTTCATTCCTTATCAAAGTTATTTTTGGAAGATAATATTGATTGAGCCTTTTGAAAAATCCCCCCCCACACTAGCTTTCATCTTGACTTCTTGATCTTTCCCGCTCCGCATCCCCCTCACCTGGCTTAGATGGTTTTTCCTCGCCACAATCACGGATTTCTTTCTAATGACCAGTTTGCTTTTACTCGACGAATCCTAAAGGTAGATGTTTTGAAACTCCTTCCTCTGGTGTGCTGTGCTTCCTCCTGCCTATCTTCTTTCTTTCCTATCTGGTAGCACCTTGACTGCCATTTTATATCATAAATATAGAGTGAAATCCAGGGATGCTTCCTGAATTTGCACTTAAGCAAGAACTCCATTTGAGTTTTGTGGGAGTTTGGCCTAAATAAGACGGGAGTGAAAACTAAAGCCTTGAGCTTGTGTGATTTGGTGTGGGGAAGGCATAGTCCTAGATGCAAAACTTGCACCATTTGCATAACAATAGTAATTACAAAATAACACAGAACATTTTCATAGGATCCTCGCACACACCCTTCCCTCAATTTTTCTTTAGGCAAAATTTGGTGGGCAGTCTCTTGACTGAGACAAAATTGGGGACAGTATGTAGAGTTTGCAGTAGTATCTTCCAAAGTGCATGAGTGATTATTGGAGCACAAGTCCTATCAAAAGTTTTTGGGATTTGTGTAATTGCCCCTGATTTGTGGATGGACCATCTTAAATGCAGGTGTCTCCTCATCTTGTTCACACTGCCCAGAAGTTTACACCCCAAACTTTCATGGATCTCTCCATTGTGGATTCCATGTGTTCAAGTAATCTGCTTTGCACCATAGAGGCTAGGCAGCTGGTGCTCACCAGCGAATCTATAGCTAGTGATCTGCACCGTGGAATTCACTTTCAGGTTTGGAGCATACCTCCTCCTGAACCTCATCCTGAAGAATTTGTGGATGTTTAACTGGAACAATCCTACACAAGATCCTAAACACTGCAAGTGGAGAGATTGTTAATTTGTTGTTATTTCCACAAGCAAAATATGGTGCAAGTTGAGTAATTTGAATCGATTGCAGTTGGACTGTAAAGAAGTTGCTTAAATACATTTTGATCTCTCTGCATGTTTGGTGAAGGCATGGTTTGGAGTTTGTGGTGTTCTCTGTAGACATTATGACTTAACTCGTGTTTTCCATACTCCTGTTTGCAGTGAGGCCCAGTCGTGTAGGATTTATTCAGACAAAATGTTTATCGGAAGCCACTGGGCAAAATCCTGATGGAGGGAGGGGTCAGGTACACGTTGTGGCCCAGGTACAGTCCTGCCTGCATAGGGATGGCATGACTGAAGGCTGGCGTTAACATGCACTGGGGCAGCCTTCAAAAATACAGGCCACCTCCCAGGGGGGCGCTGGCTTTGTTGGGGCTTCAGTAGGTGACCTGGAGCCTAGGTTTAGGTACTCCAAGTTGAATGTGTTGGCCTGAGTGCCCACTATGTAACTTGGCTGGTCCCTCATGCAGAGGAAAAGCAGTACGTCTCAAGGGAGCTGGACTTCTCTGGGGCTTGCCCAGCAGCCTTGTACTTGTATCACAAACTTAGCCTGGCAAATCAAAGGCATTTCCCACGTGCCCCTTAAATGTCCATCTTAAAATCTTTACCACCACTCCAAGACAAGACATCCAAACTATACTGATGGTGCTACCAAGGCACCAGTCCCCCACCCACGTCCCCTGCCAGCATCTCCAGCACTCAGGGCAAACCGTTTGCCTCTTCGTGTTTTTTGTCACGTCATAACATTTGTCTGAACTTCTTACAGGGTGATCAAGGTCGAGATGGAGCTGCTGGCCCACCTGGTCCCCCCGGACCACCAGGTGCAAGAGGGCCCCCTGGCGATACAGGAAAAGATGGCCCCAGGGGACCACAAGGCCCTCCCGTAAGGAACAACAAATACAAAGAATTTGCATTGTAAGATGGATAATACCCACAGTGTACTTCAGCAGGATACTAGCTGTGACAGGTCAAGACACAATGGTGCCAAGGGCCTAATCTGACCATGTGTCCCCAACAGTTAGTGCTAAGGATTGTTTGCTTCCTGTGTGGCCTCACCATGCAGGGAAGGCTGTGAAATGAGACCATTTAGCAGTGTGCCAGTAGCCTGGATTACCAGCGATTACTGAAAGGCTTTCAGAAAATGGGTACAATTCAGCTCTCTGCCCACCTCCGAACAGCTGCTTCCAGTGATTCCCTGAATGTAGCCTGACAAGGATCTAAATTCCCTGGTAGTTTGAGAAATTAAAGTATGTCAGTAGATGAAACTAACTGTCAAGGAGAAGGTATCATCCAGAGAGGGGGAAATGGGGAAGGGACAGATAGACATATTTTCTAGTATTCATGGCAAAGAGCTAAAAGTTAGCAAATATATATATATTTTTATATTCAATCAGGTTTGTACCTCTGTCCTGATCAAGAACCTTCACCAACCTGGTTCTAAATCTCCAACTCATTAATAACTCATTAAAATTCTGGGTATAAAATTAATAAACCTTAAAGTAATTAGTTTTGAACATTCTGGATAATGAAGGTTGCTGGTGCAGATGGCAATAATCAGCTTCATTGAATTGCTAACCTTTCCTTTCCCTAGGGCTTGAAAGGAGAGTCAGGAGAAGCCGGTGTGATGGTTAGTATTCAATGTGCAGTGGTTGTGTCGGCACTAATGGATTAAGTCTGCTTTACTAAACACGGGGTGTTTGCTTCAGCTACACATGCAGTTTTTTACTTGAATTCTCTTATTTATGTCAACCTATACCCCCACACAGTAAATTACTTTAATTGTGCCATCACTTGCTAATTAAGACAAAAAAGGATGGTGCTACTGTGCTGGGTTGGACCTGTCCAGAGATGGACAGCTGTCAAGCTTGGAGAAAAGTTTCAGGATCCTGAATAAACCAAATACTGCCTTGGGACTTCAGCTTTCTGTGTTGTGCCAAAATTAGGTGAGTCCTTTCTAATCATAGCTTTTCTATAAATATATCCTTTGTCCTTGCTCCTACCACCCCTGACTCTCTCAGTACTACCTCACTCTTCCAAAATTTGGATCATACTTATACAAGGAAATGCTTATTTTTTTGCCTCCTGAGAGTTTATTTCCATCAAGGCTTCATGCTTATGCTACAATCTGAAAATGAGTTTCACCAGGAGTTAGCTGTGAAATTTGAGACTAGAAATTGGCTGCTGTTCCAACCCTATGCACCAATGACGGATGAGGATTCAGTGGTGTCACAGGCTTTTCCCCAAGGCAAAGTTTTTTGGGTTTTTTTTTTTCAGGAATGGGTTTCGTCTCAAAGGACAAAGTAATCATGGGTCACTTTCCCCCATTGTCCCACACCTTTCTTCTGTGCTTGCTTTTCTATACCATGTTCTTGGAACCACTCCTCTATGGACATCAGACCTTTTGCACATCTTTACCATATGATACAGCTTGAATATACCAGAATGTATATTTAAAACAGCTGTCTGCCAACTGTGGAAGTAAAAAATTGAAGTGGGACAGAATAAAAAGTGCTAAGTATTTTGTAGGACAATAAACTAGTAGTAAAAGAAGATAGAGGGAAGAATCAGTTCTAAGCACTGAACCCTTTAAAAAGAGCAACCAGCAAGATAGTAAAGCCTCTGAAATGCAGGCAGAGGCTGATGCAGGAAAAGGTATGTTCAATCTCCCCAGGAGAAAGAGGAAAAGAACCAAAGGGGAGACTGTGAAGAGATTTAATATCCACAAATTGACCATGTTGTCAAAATAAGATATACGAGGGAGTCTACTTTAAAACTAAATAATCCAACTCAATAGGACGTCCTGCAAGGGCTTTGCAGGCGCTACCTGGATTCATTTGGTTTGGAAGTCACCATAGGCAGGGCTCTTTCAAGTGAGAGTGGTCCTGTTGAACTAACCCATCCTGTTGCTTCATCCCTGGTAGATTATTGGTAAACATTAATATTGTGCAAGTTCTCAGTTGACAATAGTTTAAAAGTGGTAAACTACAGAAACACCTTCATGTTGATCATTGTGCCTATAAAAGATGTGCTAGGTGGCAGGAAGTTCTTAAGCAGGTAACTTGATAGGTTGATAGGATATTTTTCATATATAAAATATAATCGTTAAGAGAGAAGTTTATTATTCTGGGTCCTGATTTAGAAAACCTTTTGAGAATAGACATAGTCACAAGTAAAAGCAACAGACGTTGGCATCTTTGCCATTTTCCACAAGACTGAAAACATTTTGAACGGATGTTTTTGATCTTAGACGTTCCTTCCCTGATATTCTGATTCATTTGTCTTTTTACAGGGTGCAAGGGGACCTCCAGGACTAAAAGTGAGTACTAAATAGCTTATTACAGCTCAAACTCTAACAGGTCAGGGATCCTCAAAATGTTTCCATGGAGCTGGGCAGGGTTGCGCCTGGCCTTCTTTCACCTAGATGTGAACTCCCCTGCATCAATCCAAGGGAAGAACGCCAAAGAATCAAACTGGCCTTGAAACGGTAAACTTCCCCATTTAAATCATCATCTTGGCAGGAAATATGCAAGTTGTTAAAATGAGAGGAAATAACACTTGAATGAGAGGGTGTTTGGGGTTTGGGTTTTGGTTTTCTTTATGTACGTATACATGCACTTTTGGCATTTCAGGGGAAGATGTAGATCAACAGCGCAACCCTATTTTCACCACAGCAGTTAATTTTGAGCATGCATGTGACTTCTCTTATTTGGTTTCACGTTACTGACTTGCCTCCCTTTCCTGTTTCGTTTTGTTTTCCATTTCTGAAGGGTGAACCTGGTATTCCAGGGGAAAAGGTAAGAGGTTGATTCTTCTTCCTTCTGTGCTGTCCACCACCCCAAGAAATGCTTAGTGAAGCATTTGCAGAAACAACGTAAAACGTTCTAGTCATGGTTGGTTGCACTGATTCATTCCTTATTCTCTGGGATTTCTAGCATATGTTCAATTAAAGAATAGCAATCTTGTGACCTTGAAACACAGACACTGCTGGGCTGCCAGCATGTTTTTAATTAGGATTATCCGCCTAGGAAGATTAGCCCAGGAGACCAAGAACAAAAGAGCAAAAAGGCCCCTTGGGAGAGTAAGTCTGGCCCCCCTTGCTGGGAAATCAAGTGGATGAATCTGTAAGAATGGTGCCCCGCAACAGGCTGGCATTGATCTATCTGAATCTCTTGGGTTTGACCAAGCACAGAGATCTCAGTGGAGCCTCCTGGTTACAACTGCAACGTACATAGGGTTTTATACACTCTGACAAGGAGGGAGACAACCAGCAGAGGATCCTGGAGCAGCACAAGAAGATGCAGCTATTACCTGCTTCAGCTGCACTGCTCATGCACAGCGAGCTCTGTGCTCACTGCCTGGTCAGCACAGGCACCTGTTAGAGCCCTGCCGAAGCAATGAGCTCACCAGCTGACCAGGGTCAGGTCAGGATGGGGCCCCTACTTTCACATGGCTTGGAAGCCCAGGGGATGAACGCTGCTTCTGTTCACCCTTCCTCTTCCTCCCCGTCCCTGCTGAATTCAGCAGCAGTGGACAGGAGGGCATGATTGGCAGTGGCAGTGCTCACCCCCCAGCTCAGTGCTGGGTGAAAGCCTTCCATCAAACCTTGCGTGGATCAGCTGATGATGCGGCCGGAGGGAGCACAAGTTGCCTATTGAAAGCCAGAGGAGTGTTCATCCCATCTCCGGGTTTTTGCAGTGGGCATCGTTCACTGTAATGCACAGTGCCTCTCGGAGAATTGAAGCCCAAACTCTAAAGAAGGGGTGTCAAATTCAGCCTGCCCCATGAGCCAGTTGAGTGGTGCTGGGCCAGTCCACGAGCAGGATCAGTCCCACAAAGCCCCCAGCTTCCCCCACCTCACCCACACCTCCTGTGCTACAGCGTGCATCCCAAACTGGGCATGGGAGGGGGCATAGCTTGCATTGTGAGTCCCAGACCAGCTGGGGCAGGCCCTGCAGGTGCCAGGACCCTCTAGCTTCGCCTCGCTGTCATGTGTATTAAGCCCCCGTGCATTTCAAAATGGGTCCAGGGGCACTTTAGCTAAAACTTGTGGATTGAGTTTTAGATAAAGCACCCCCACAGCCACTTTGAAATGCACAGGGGCTTAAAACATGTGATGGTGATGTGTTTTTTAATTAGAGTGGCTGTCTAGGAGCTGGTTTAATTAAATGCACATCCCCCCGGCCCCTGAGCACATGTGTAGGCAGCCCATCAGGCCTTTGTACATCCAGCCTTGGGTTAACAGCTCACGAGCATCACTGAGCTTCTGCTCCAAGTCCTGCATGTTGATGCCTTTATATTCTGGTCTCACGCAGACACTCAGTATGTGTTTTGTTCCATCAGGGTGACAGTGGAGCTCGTGGAGAGCCTGGGCTTCAAGGACCTAAGGTAAATTTCAGCCCTGTGTCTGGGCATTTCTACTGGCATCTTTACTGGCCTGCTATCATAGTCATTTTAAGACCTGGTCCTTACAATAACTTCACTTGAAGTGTGATGGACTCATCAGTCCCCACACTTTCCTTATGGCTGCAGTTTGGGGACTGTCTTTGCCAGTGAACGTGCCTTCTTTTACCAAGTTTGAAAAGCTGAAGGCTTCGTTTTAGTTTGGAAAAAAAATGCCCTTTTGCATGTAGGCAGTCCTCAGAGACGTTTGAGAATGAAAGAAAAGCTTTGATCTTTCCAGCATGCCTGTAGAAATCGAGATAAACCATGAGCATTGTGACCTTGGGAAAATGGCTTTCTGTCTTACCAGGGTCAGAGTTAAAGTGCTTATCAGATAAGAATTTGGGAGCCAGGGCTCTATCTAAATGATCTTGCTTTTCAGGGGGAAAAAGGAAACGTGGGCGCCATGGGGGAGAATGGGCTAGATGGATCGCCAGGCTCAAAGGTAAATAAAGCCCAGGTTGGTTAAGCTGGAAGCTGATCACAGCAGTCTTGGGGAGAGTTTTGGCTCTGTAGGAGTTTTAAATAACTGCGTTCTAAAAATGGCACTGAAAAGGCAGAACAAAACTAGAGCATGTGAACTTGAACGGTTCCCTTGTTGCCTGGTGTTTTGAGTAAAGCTGGTTTGGAGAAGGAGATCCGTAAATGTTCCAAAGTTGTCACTTTTTTGACATTTTCCATTGGAGTGTCACACGCTTCTCTTAACTTGTCTTTTCCTGCAAGGATTGTGGGGGCACCGCCTTCTGCTGCTGTGTCAGTTGTATGTTGGCTAAGACTATCTCTTCCATTGGGGCAGTGCTTGTGTGCATCACAATTCGTTAATTTTTCTTCATAACTGAAGAGAAGTGCCCCAAGACATCTTTGATGTACTTGGCAGTGGCACCCTAGCATGTCCTCTATTTGGGATCAGCTGTTCCTCATCAACTGCTCGCCACTGAACAGCATCCACATCCATGTGTGTTTTGTGCACTGCGTAGCCATGGCTCCTTGTTATGCATTAAAGCATGCAAAGCTGAGGAAATGAGGGTTGCAGACTGCCTCTAGCCATTCTACTGCTGAATCCACGATAACAAGGCTGATTCAAATAGTTCTGCATCATTTTTTATATTAATAACCTTAATTCCAGGTTTTCAGCTTTTTTGCTGTGTGATTTCCAGATCTGTGATTTTCCAGCAGCTTATAAGAGAGCTAAATTCTGGGTGGATTTTCATGGGTGTGGCAAAAATCATATGCATGATAGAGGCAACTGGCCTCCCCTTATCCAGTTCCCAGTGCCTGCTCCAGTGCACGAACATCTGAGTTTTTTCCCACACTGTTTCCTTATTTCTGAAATAATAAATGTGATGTTTGTTTTCAGGGTGAATCTGGTGAGAGAGGAGGACTGGGACCCATTGGACCAAGGGTATTTTTGCCTTGTTAACTGTGCCTCTCATGTTTTGCTTCTGTACAAGGTACTCTGTCCATCATTTGCAGCACACTTGGAAGTTCAGTGCAATCTAAGAGAGAGGCAGATGGAGCAGGTTTAAATAAACCACCCTACAGCTACTGAGCTGGATCAGTGCATGGAACTGCCATAAATGCAGTAAAATCATTTCTAGTTTTTCTGTAAACAACAGACATACTGGCTATCCACAGTCACTGGAAGCTCTCGCTGCCTTCTTCCAAAGAGGAAAACAGGTCTGATTCCAGTTAGGCAGGTCATATTCTGCTTCTCATTTCCATGAACATCCAGGCTCTTCCAGGACTTGATCCGTATTTGTCTTACCTGCTAGTGATTGCATCTCTGGTATTTATATGCTGACAAGTGACAAGGTATCTAGAAGAAGATCTTAGAGGACATTTAGATACCCAACCCCTATTTAAGCACCTAAATTCCCATGGATTTCAACCTGATTGCAAGTGAAATCAATGAGAGTTTAGATGCCTTGGTGATTTGGGGTGGGGGGGTTGTTTGTTTGTTTTTTGCATGCGGCTGTGGCTGCCTAAATTATGCTGTCCTAAGACTATTCTTGCCATTTCCACACTACCTGCTTTTCAGATGCTGGCCCCAGGTTCATGCCTAAATGTTTGCAATGCTGTTTTGTCCTCCAGGGTCCACCTGGTCTGAAGGGTGAACAGGGAGACACTGTCGTGATTGACTATGCTGGCAGAATCCTAGATGCATTCAAAGTAAGCTCCAATCTATGGTGATACCAATTTATAAGGATTAGAGCTAATTACCACATAAATTGAAATTCAAACATTGAAATATTACCGATCTGGAGACATGGAAGAGTGGTTTGAGAGTCGCTTCTCATTCTGGTGCGATGATAATAAATAAGGACTGGAACACTGTCAAACCTAAAAGTGAACTGGCAAGGAGATCCTCTTCCAGTGTCCACGTTATCCCCCCAGAGCTGCTCCTTCTCTTTGGTTCACCATAGGTCTGTGGCCAAGAGGAGCTGCATAATCAGCAGTGTGGCTTCTGGACAGGAATCAGAATCACAGAAAATAGAAAATGAGGGTTGCAAGGGAACTCAAGAGGCCATCTAGTCCAATCCCCTGCTCAAAGCATCATCCCAGCCAGGGCATTGTTGAGCCAAATCTTAAAAGCCTCCAAAGATTGAGATGCCACCACCTTTCTAAGTAACCCATTTGAGTGCTTCATCACCCCCCTAGTGAGAGTTTTTCCTAATATCCAAACTAAACTTCCCTTGCTGCCACTTGAGCCCATTGCTCCTTGTCCTGTCATCAGCCAACAATGAGAACAGTCCAGCTCCAGCCTCTTTGAACCTCCCTGCAGGTAGTTAAAGGCTGCTATCAAATCCTCCCTCAGTCTTCTCGTCTCCAGACTAAATAAACACAGTTCCCTCAGCCTCTCCTCATAAGTCATGTGCCCCAACTCCCTAACCAGTTTTGTTGCCCTCCACTGGACTCTCTTCAACTTCTCCACTTCCTTTATATAGTCGGAAGGGAGGGCAAAACAGGACACTACTCCAGATGTGGCCTCACCAGTGCAGAATAGAGCAAACTGATTATTTCCCATGATCTGATGGCAATGCTCCTACCAATGCAGCCCAGGATGCCGTTAGCCTTCTTAGCAACCAGGGCACCCTGCTGACTCATATCCAGCTTACTGTCCACTGTCACCCCAGGTCCTTTTCTGCAGAGCTGCTGCTTAGCCGGTTGGTCCCAAGCACGTACCAGTGTGTGGGATTGTTCTGTCTTGAGTGCAGGACTTTGTACTTGTCCTTGTTGAACCTCATGACATTTCTTTTGGCCCAATCCTCCAATTTGTCTAGGTCTCCCTGAATCCTAGCCCTACACTCCAGCTTGTCTACTATACCCCCCCCAGCTTAGTGTCATCCACAAACTTGCTGAGGGTGTACTCCATCCCAGCTTCCAGATCATTAATGAAGATATTGAACAAAACCAGCCCCAGGACTGACCCCTGGGACACTCCACTTGAGAGTGCCTGCCAACTAGACCTCTAGCCATTGATCACTACCCATTGAGCCTGGTGATCCAGCCAGTTTTCTATCCACCTTACAGTCCATTCATTCAACCTGTACTTTCTCAGCTTGGTTGCAAGAATGCTGTGAGAGACCATATCAAAAGACTTGCTGAAGTTGAGATGCATCGTGTCCACTTTAAGGGCACCCCTTAAAGCAGGGAGGCCCTATTCATCTGCAGTGGATGTTTGCTGAAAATGATGGATCTTGTAGTCCCAGCACAGCAGAGCTGACCGGTAATGGGAGCAGAAGTATTTTCTTGGTCCCACTGCTCTGTGAGAGGGGACAAGTTCTCCAGAAGACTGACCTGGGGACAGGACTAACTGGTATAAACCAAACACCCTGCAAGGAGGGACTGCACCTACCTCCCCAGACATCGGCCAGAGTGGTCATTCTGTATGCAGGAGGCAGTTGGGGAGCTGACAAACCAGTTTCCTTCTAGTCCTTACAAATGTTCTGGGAGAAAGGAGACACTTATGGGAGAGGACAGCTGACAGGAGAGCTGGCTGAAGGGGGGGGGCAGCTGATGGGCTGAACATCAGGATTTTGCAGTACTTGGCTACCACAGAAGCATGTGCATCAGACAGAGCATGGTTAGATGGCTATGCTGAAGCTGCACTGACAGTCTCAGCCTTGTGACCAGTGAATGCAGTGAGTCCTGAAGCAGAGGGTCACAGGGAGCAGGTCTCAGACTAGAGCAGCTGTGATAGTGGGAGTAGGAGCTTTTCCTCCTCTGCTGCTACAGAATGGATGGAGAAGAAATGCAAGAGGAAGAGGGCACAGTTGTTCCTCTATGGCTATTTAGGGACAAGGAGATGGAAGCCAATCAGGTGGTTTTGACCCAGCTCAAGAGAGATGGCCAGCTAAGGTGATAGCCACACAGCCACCCCCAGAGGGTACCGGAGCTGGGAGAAAAGGGTAGGATGCTCCAGCAAGGCTGAGTGAGGCAGTAGGATCCTGGTGGCAATGGGAGCTGAAGGATGGGAGGCAGTGACCAAACTTGACTCGAGCTGTCTGAAAAGTTTGCACATTCAGGTCACATTTCAGGGTCGCATAACCTGGGATCAGGTTCCAGGAGTTGCAGCACATGGTTTACATAGCGCTAGAGCCAGTGGAAGCTCATGTGCAAGCAATGTGATGAACCAAATACAATCTGTCAAGTGGCAGCTTAAACAGAGCAGGCTAAATTCTGCCTTCCCTCCCCATCTGTGCAGTTCTCCTGAGGATAGTGAGGTCACTAAATGAAGGCACTGTCTGCCCTGGCTCTACATGGACTAAGCAATGTTAATTCAGAAGGAAACTTCTGCTGTTTCTGTGAAGGAGGATTACACCCTTTATCCTCCTTCCTGTGGATTACACGCTCCTTCCTGTGAAGGAGGATTACACCTGTGGCCATACCAGGGAGAAAAGGAGTGAGACTGAGCTTAGTGCTGCTATTTTAACTCAGATAAGAGAAGTTGAATGGAATAAATAATTTCATTGCAGACACATATGAAAACCATCCTAATTGTTTTATAACAGGCTGCAGGGAGACACAAAGTGATGGTAATTACTGTATGCCAGATGTCTGCATGGGTTGCCTTGACAGAAGAGCACAGCATGTGGCTTTGTGAGTGGAATTTGTGGACTGAGTTCACTGGAAAGGATCCATCCAATGTTTGGCGACTCAGTCAACTAACAGTGACTGATGGCTCCTCGGTCTGCATCTTGCCCCGTGTGTTGCATGGTGAGATGGCTCAGGGGCAAATCAGTAAACTGCCGCTGACTCTGCCTTTACCACTCTGCTGCTTGTTAGTTATGTTGCCTGTCTGCCCACTCACCTCTTTTTTAGTAAACACACCTCATAAAAAGTGACTGCCTTGAAGAGTTTCAAACACGAACAAATATTGCAATGTGAACTGCATTAAAAATGGAAACGAGGGGCTCAGAATAACAACGCGCCAATTAGTTCCATGCTAGATGAGTGGGTGTGCAATCTGGTGTCTCTTTGGGTGCGTTTGCAAATGACAAAATGTATGACCCCATCAAAGGGTTGTCAAACTCCCTGTCTGTCGGAGTCTCTAGTAAGGATAACAGTTTGCAATGGCCTGCAGGATTTCCACACAAACTTGGGAGGGTTTTCCTGTTGTGTTAGCATTTTGTATTTCAACTTTTCTTTAATCACATTGCTGTGGTCTTAATAAGTTAATGTTTTATTTCCTGGTAGGGTGGGCCTGAATGGGTGGAAAGGTTCTCCAGGAGCATAGTCGAACTGTACCTTTGATAAAGTTATCCTGTATGGCCAGGTTATTGTACCCCTGAACGAGCTGGCCCAGAGAGCTGTTGAATCTTCTTCAATAGAGGCTCCAAGAAGAGGCTAAATAAGCATACAGGTTTAGGGATAGTGCCTCCTGCCTTCTGCAGAGAGCTGGACAAGATATGACCCATGGAAGTTGCTTCTAATCTGATGGCTCTTCCTGGATATTATCAGTCTCCATGGAATGTCTCCCCAGAATAGCTGTAACCAGCAAAGAGAGCAGAAGGGCCTATGGCAATAAAGCAGTTTTTTGACCAGATTTCTCTCTACAGCTAGATCCTTTAGCCTTTTAATCATGCATAGTACTGAAACACCCAAAGTTGGATACAGATTTGGGGAGTTAATATTTTCTGTGCGAAACACCCTGGTCTTGGCTGACATTGTCATGGATATTTGTGCCACTGCACATTACACAAATATTTACTGTAAATCTGGATCAAAAGCAGCACTCCTGGCTAATCCCCAGAAGCAAAGTGAACACGTGCAGGATTAGTAATGGTGCTCTTGACAGTTGTGTTTACATCAACTCTCTTTGTTGTGTTGCAGGGCCCACCTGGTCCCCCAGGGCCTCCTGGACCTCAAGGAGCACCAGGACCAAAGGTTAGCGTGACCTCTGTTATCCAGACAGTAACCCACAGCATGGGGCACACGGCGGCTGCTTACCACATCCTCATGTCAAACTCCTCTGTGTATTGATAGGGGTTCTCCATGTGGAATGGTGGGTGGATGCATGCCCCTGTGACAACAGCTTTTAGCAAGGCTGGACAAATGTGTCTCATAGCACAAAAGGCTACATACAGGAAAGGTTTGATATTGGGCATTTCTACTTCTGAACCTATATGCAGGAGAAGGAGCATTACAACTTGTGTCTGAACAAATAGAAACCTTTTACTTGGATGCAGAAGCATATATGTTCTTTTGTGCCATTACTGGTCTGAAACCCTTTTATGAATGAGGGCATCACACGGGAGAATCCATGGGCAGATCCATAGATCATGGGTGCAGTCCTGGTCCCACTGAAATCAAGTGGACATTTTCCATTGATCAGTGGAAGTCTGGATTTCTTCATTGATAGAGACAATGCTTGTGAGGGTGCAATACACTTAGCTATTGATACTCACAAGTTCTAGGTTCAGCTTTTTTCCTCCTGTTGGCAGCTCTGCTAATGAGGGTTAGCACATCTTAGTATTTTCACATGCACATCTCTCAGTTACAAAACCAGGGTAGAATCTTTAGTCAGTAAGTAGTAAATAATAGTTAACTTGTTACTATTTCTTTAAAAACAAGCATGCATAAAAAATATCTTGCTAGGGAGAGGTATTAGCATGGTCCAGCTCTTAATGTTCCTCTTTCCTTCCGTGCAAATCAAATTTTCATTGAGTTATGAAACCTGGCACTTCACTTGAAACACACAGATGTCATTTCCTACCTCAGGTTGCTCACAAGCCTTACAATATTGAGGAGCTGCCCTCCATCATGTCTGGTGGATGGATACCCAAATGGAGAATTTCCTAGCATACAAAATGTTTTTTAAAAAAATTCTGACCTTTATTCCTTTGTGCTACTTCAGGGAGAGCTTGGATTGCCTGGGCCACCTGGAGTTGATGGAGAAAAAGTAAGTGGGATACAGCTTTATACAATGAAAGACTAGGGGCAGGTCCTGTCAGACCAACCTAGTGGCCTTCTATGACCAGGTCACCAAATGCTTAGATGCAGGGGTAGCAGTAGACATAGTCTTCCTGGACTTTCGGAAGGCCTTCGACACTGTCTCTCACCCCGTTCTCATTAAGAAACTGGGGGCTGTGGTGTCGACACCCACACAGTGAGATGGGTCGCTAAGATGTGGGGGGATGTGGGTACGCTAGAAGGGAGGAATAGGCTGCAATCGGACCTAGACAGGTTACAGAGATGGGCGGATGAGAATAAGATGGGATTCAACACCGACAAGTGCAAGGTGCTGCATCTGGGGAGGAAGAACCAGCAGCATACCTACAGGCTGGGGAACTCCCTTCTCGTCGGTGTAGAGGCAGAAAAGGATCTTGGA